AGAGTATGTCAGACAAAGTTTCAGAATCCTTTCCTCCAAGGAGCAGCCAGGTTTAACTCTCTCTAGGATGAACCTATTTGTTCTCTTAGCATGGTATATTCAATACTCTTCTCCAACAACACAGCTCAAAGGCCTCAATTCTCCTTCTATCATCCCTAGTCATTGCCAGCTCTCTGATGCATAGCAAGTGATTGCAAAGACCATGGCCTGTATCAGGTGCATCTTGATCTCCTGACTAACATCATTGCTCTTCAGTACTTTGGAGAGATCTCTGACAGTAGACTTTCCCAACACAATACGTCTTTTAATTTCCTGACTGCTGGTGCCAAGAGTATTGTTTGTGGAGCCAAGCAAACTAAAGCTGTGAACAATCTCAATCTCTTCACCATCTATCATGATGCTTCCAATCAGCTCAGTGGTGAGAATTTGTTTTCTTGATGTTGAGCTTCAATCCATATTGAAGGCTGCAGTCCTTGACCTTCTGCTGCAAGTGCTTCAGGTCCTCCTCAATTTCAGAAAACAGGGTTGTGTCATCTGCATAACGCAGATGTTACAAAAAACCTCATTGTTACAAAAAAATTAAAGTATATTAAAAAGGTGAAAATGGTACAATGAACATACGTATATTCACCATCAATTCAACACTTGTGATTTTTTCCAAATATGTTTTATGTGTGTTCATAAGTATGAACATGTGTGTATATTGAGTTCGCAATTCTTTAAACTTTTAAAAGGGTTTTCTAAACTCTTCTGCTCTGATCCAGCCTACTTCAGTAGCTTCATTTGCTCTGACTTGGCTCCTTATACTGCTGACTGTTTGCTAGTTTACTGGTTGCATTCTAATGTCGCATTTCTCTGACTGAATTCTCTACCTGTTCTTAAAGTCTCAATAACATCCAAGTTCCCATAGACCTCCCTAACATTGTGATAGATAGATAGATAGATAGATAGATAGATAGATAGATAGATAGATAGATAGATAGATTAGGAAAATATTTTGTCCTAGAGATGACTGGTTCTAACAGATTTCTTTTTCCCTTGGTAACTTTGATCTCAGAGTGTAACATCAAGTACTGTTTGATATTTAATGTTTTCCTCTAGGTTTCTCTAAAGTCATAAGGGTGGTAAGGGGAATAATTATACTGACAATGTGAATATTGGACCAGGGATGGAGGGGAGTGATTGAGGAGGAATTTGACAAATGTAAGACTGGCTATGATTGAATACCCTCAACATCATTTACTCTGATTATTACCTTTAAGATTATTGTAAAATGTGAGGACCCTTGAATATGTTTAACAATAATAAACATATATATTTGAAAACATTTTCTTTCAACAGATTATTATTTAGAAGGGAACTCTGGTGGTCTAGTTGTCAGGAGTTGCACTGGCAACCCAAAGCCACATGGTTCAAATCCACCCGCAGTTCCAGGGAGAAAGAGGACACTATCTTCCCTTAGAATTTGTTGCCTCTGAAAAACCAATAGAGGGTCAGCTATGAGTCAATTTTGACTGAATTGTACATAACAACAAATTTTTAAAGCAGTTCTAAATGGTTCCCGCATTTCTTCTCTCCCCTCCCTGCCCTTGCACATCATTCTATTAGTATAATCCTGCATTCCATTCTGTGATATATTTGTTGCAATCAATGAGCCAATCTGTACCCATTATTATTAACTGTAGTCCATATTTTCATTAGGACTTGTTCTTTGCGCGGTATAATATATGAGTTTTGAGAATTTCATAATGGCATGTATGCACCATTACAGTATCGGACAGAATAGTTTTCCCTGTCCTTAAAGTATCCTGTACTCCACTTATTTATCCCTCCTCTCTCCCTAAGACCTGATGGGAACCTCTGATCTTTTCACTTACTCTAGAGTTTTGCCTTTTCCATATGTCATATAATTGGAATCATACTATATGGCCTTTTCAGACTGACTTCTTTCACTTGGCAGTGTGCGTTTAAGGTTCTCTATGTCTCTTAATGGCTTCATAACTCATTTCTTCTTATCCGTTCACCTATTGAAGGGCATCATGGCTGCTTCAAAATTTTTTGGCAACTATGCCTACTAGTAATAAATTTGCTATAAATACTGTGTGTGGGTTTTTATGTGTGTGTGGGTTTTTATGTGGACATAAGGTTTTTTTCCGGCTAATTTGGGCAAATATTTAAGAGCATCATTGCTGGATTATATGGTAAGCATATGTTCAACTTTGAAATGGTATTATTGTCTTCCAAAGTGTCTGTAAAACTTTACACTCCCACCAGCAATTAACGAGAATTACTATAGCTCCACATAACAGCATTTGCTGTTGTCAGTGTTTTAAGTTTTAACCATTCTAATAAGTGTGTGAGAGAGTTCCAGTGGCACAGTTTGCCAGGAGTTGCATTGCTAACCCTAATGTTGTGCCTTTCTGGTATCAAGACTCTATTTGCAGCTTTGAAAAAGAAAGACAATCTCCTCCTATACAATTTACAGCCTCTGAAAATCCAGTAAGGTCAGCTATGAGCTGGTTGTGTCTTGATAGCAATGAGTTTAATAGCTGTGTAGTGCAACATAAAATTTTGACCAAATGTTCAAAGTGACTTACAAGTATAGACTTATTTCATTACATGGTCAAATCTATGAGGTAGGTACTATTAGCCCATTTTGTTTTGTTGTTGTTGTTGTTAAGTGCCGTCAAGTCATAGACGACTCATAGCAACCCTATGAGTGAAAGACCTGAACACTTGTTTAACTATTAATTATCGTTTCTCAACATTCATAGAGTTTCTGGAGGCAAGCTACATTGGAAGTGGATGCCAGTTCTGCTTCCAAGTTTGTTTTAATCAGGGAGCTCCACCAAACACTGTCCACCATGGGTAATTGTTACCACATTTGACACATCAGTGTCACAGTGTTTAGCATCACAGCAACCACGAGTTACCTCTGTACAGCAAGTGGACAGACCAGTGCTGTACCACTTAGATGAATGACTAAAAACAATTAAAACCAGGCCTGAGGGCCCCAGATTAAAATCACCCACCTTTGGCTTGATAGCATCACTTTCTGTCCACTAGACCATCAGAGCTCTCTTTATGTTGTTGTCAAGTGCCACTTTACAGATGATGAAACTGAAGGACAGGGAAAGTGAGTTCCCAAGGCCAAAAGTTGTCCATAGCTGTCAGATACCAGGTGTATCAATTCAGTTTTATTGAGCCCTTTCAATATAGTAGTTGACAAATTAGCCAAAGTTGTATACTTAATGTAAGGATATACCATAATGAATGATCCCAGTCGATTGCTGGGCTGGGGCAGAGTTAGTTTGAAATGGAGAAATAATATACAGTCAAAGACTATGAGTAATATGGGTATATATATTTGGGTAAAATTAGTTTGTGGAAGGTCAAGAAAAAGAGTCTTAATTTTAGAGTGTGTGAAATAGATACAAGCAATCCCAAGATTACAAAAGAGCTCCATTCCAAAGTATGTCTTTAAGTCAAATTTGTTTGGAATAGTTAGGTATAGCTGGTATCTAATGGTGGTTAGTCAAATATTAGCCTTGTTGTTGTTGTTATGTTCCGTCGAGTCACTTGTGACTCATAGCTACCCTATGTACAACAGCTCTAAACTCTGCTCTGACCTGTGCCAACTGCACTGTCTCCGACACACTCATCCAGATTGCCCCAGTCACCGAATCAATCCCCCTCATAGAGGGCCTTCCTCTCCTGTGCTGTCCCTCCACCCTCCCAAGCATGATGTCCCTCTCCAAGGACCGGTCTCTCCTTACAACATGTCCAAGGTATTTCAGAATTCTTGCCTCCAAGGAGCAGCCTGGTTTAACCCTCTCTAGGATGAATCTCTTTGTTTTCTTGGCAGTCCATGGTACACTTAATACTCTTCTCCAGCACCACAGCTCAAAGACATCAGTTCTCCTTCTATCCTCCCTAGTCATTAGCCTTAGTATAAAGTGTACCTTTCCGTGCATAAAAAAGCATTTAAAAAGAACCACTTCTAGATACTTTGAAGCATCTTTAATACAACCAATGTTTTTATGTGTATTGCAAAGTAGTCCTAATTTGTTAATTACAAACTATTGTAGGTACCTTGAATTTTTAACAGGCTTGGGGTACAGAGTGGTTGTAGTAGTAAATCAGACCCTTGTGACTGGGGACTACTGTAATTCTTTTTTGACGACAAAGATTATTTTAAGAAGGGGCGTCTGTGAGGGTAGGAAGGAAATAAATCTGGAAGGCACTTATTTGGAGCAGGAGAAAAGGAAAATGTTACTTGGGGGCAGCAAAGAAGGGTTAACAACTTGCTGTTCCTGCACCCACACCCACACCACCCCACACACACAGCCTAGCCAAGTCTCCATGTTCTTTAGAGAAATCAGCAAGTGCCTGCGTGGGCACCATCCACCTACCCAAATTCTCTTGACAACAATTCAAACCCTTCGGATCAGCGCTTTTCAATGTACTTTCACAATCTAAACCTCGAGCCTGAAAGGCCCTTTTAGGCAAATGTGAGGAGGGCCAAATGTATTCAGGGCCATTCGCAGGGTCAAGGATCCTAGTTGGTTGTTTATTGTTGTGGGTTTTTTTGGTTTTTTTTGTTTTGTTTTTAGTGAGGGTGTTACCCCTTCCCTAACACACCTGGCCACACAGTCAATGAGCCCACTCACAGGCCGTCCCATCCGGCTACCCTTTTAAGAGGCGGATCCTGCAGTGTCCTTTCCGCTCCCCCAGCCACCTCTACCCCCAGTCGGTTGGGCGGAGCTTCCAGCTAAAGCCCCAGAGCCCAGCTTGGCCGCGGCAGAAGCGAAGAGGGCTGGAGCTGTGAAAAGCTGCAGCTGCGGCACCATCCCCTCTCGGCACTGCTCCACGCGGCCCGGCAGCCACCGAGCTCAGCTCGCGGCGCGCTTCCCCACCTGAGCGCACCTGGTGGGGTCCGAGGTCCAGCCAGGCGCAAGGAGGGCGGGCGTCCAGGGCCCTAGGGAGTCACAGAGCGCGCGCGCCATGGGACCGCCGCCTGCGCCCCAGGTCTCCTGCCGCACTGGCTGCGGCTCTTCCCAGCTACTAGCGTGGTGCTTCCTGCTGTCTCTGAGTCTGCACGTCCCCGGCTCCCGGGGTGCTGAAGCTGTGTGGACCGCTTACCTAAATGTGTCCTGGCGGGTGCCGCACACCGGAGCCAACCGCACGGTGTGGGAGCTGAGCGAGGAGGGCGTGTATGGCCAAGACTCGCCGCTTGAGCCTGTGGCTGGAGTCCTAGTTCCGCCCGACGGTCCCGGAGCGCTCAATGCCTGCAACCCGCAGACGAATTTCACCGTGCCCACCGTCCCAGGGGACTGGGGGAGTACTGTGCAAGTGTCCTGGCTGGCCCTTATCCAGCGCGGCGGGGGCTGCACCTTTGCTGACAAAATCCATCTGGCTTACGAGAGAGGGGCTTCAGGAGCCGTCATCTTTAACTTCCCAGGGACCCGCAATGAGGTCATCCCCATGTCTCACCCGGGTGAGTGTAGCTGCTCGATTGCACCCCTCCGAACCCCTGCCACGTCCAGTGTCTCATCTTTTTCTCTGTGCCCTTCTCCACGATCCTCTGGCACCAAAGGGAAATGGGTACCCTTTTTGTCTTCGCTGTGTGGGGCAGGGTCTTCACTTCGCTGAGAGAGTCACCCGCACATGGGGACAGTGGATTGGGTGGAAAGAATCCTTCTGAAGTTCCCTCTCTAATGTAAAAGGATGAAACAGAGGTGTGGAGGCTGGCAGATTAGGGAGAGGGACAGTTTAGGCTCTTAACATACCATTTCCCTGGCATTTCACATGAATGCCCCACTGTGAATAAGTGGCTGGTGGGCATTGCCTTTGAAATGACTGAGAAGACTGGAATCTCTTCCTCACTCTTTCTTGCTCTACAGTCTCAGGCTGGCCCTAGATTGTCCCCTCGCCTCTCCCCCTCTTTTTCTCTCCATGTTTCCTAAGTCTCAGGTACTGAGATTGTGTTACTATGTCCTGTTAACCTCCTTGCAATTTTGGTAGAAACTTTGCCTTTGGGCTCTTCTTTGCCCAGTGGCCTCAAGTCCCTCAAGTCTGCTTGTATTGGGGCTTTTCGGTTTTTGTTTTGTTTTGTGTTTTTCCTGGGGCGGGTGGTGGGATCTGATTTAGGCTCTTGAGTTGCAAAACAGGTGATTAATGTCATTGAAAAGAAGAGGTTTACTGTGCATGAGCAGAACAAAGGCCTAGACTTTGTAAAAGTAGTCCAGGTAGTACTTTATTTGTGGAGCTGTTGTGAGTTACTATTTTTTACCTTCTTTGTCTTTGTGAGAGATGTTTTATAGAGATATCTATATCTATATGGTTATAGGATCTATATATAGTGTGTCTAGATAGATACATAGTGTGTATTTGTGTGTGTGTATATATAGTGTTATCTGTAGATGTATCTACAGATAACACTGTATATACAAGTACATATATGTGTGTGTGTGTGTGTATCTTTGTAGATATATATCCAGATAGCTATCTGTATAAACATACACACACATATATATGCTCCAGTGGACAAGGAAAAAAAATGGAGGGAAAGGAAGAGGCACAAGCATTAATAGTATCGTTACATACTGATCCATACATAGTGGTTAAAAGGTGGGCCTTGAGTCAGACCCAGGTTCAAATTCCAGCTCTATTGCTTGCTGGTCTTATGACCTTGGAAGGTTTACTTAAGTCTTTTGAGTCTGAGCTCCATGTTCATTAAGTAAAGTGAATAATAAGCAAGAATTACCCTATATGTTTGCCATATATATGGAATGAAATAGCACTGGTCAAGACTCCAGTACAGTACCCAGCTTACCATCCACTCAGTGAACATGGCGTACTGACACCACTGAAGAGATGAATATGCTCATTTAACTACTAGAGGTTTTATGTTTTGCTAAAAATAGTCTGACAAGCCGTGCCTAGAGAGCACTTGTATGGTGGAACTTGGGATATTTTAATTTGTTGAGACCCTTTGCCTCTGCCAGCTTTGTAACCTTGTAGAAGTTACTCATGTATCTAATGGTAATAGACATGTAGGGAGTGGAGACCAAATTGGCAGAGTGTACATATAGAAAAATCAACTAGATGGATGCTAAGATCCCTAGTGATGTTAAAAAGGCTGTGGTTCTTAGATTTTTATGTTGATTAAAGGAACAAAGACTATAATTTTAGATTTTATGTTGATTAAAGGAGTGTGTCTCTCTTGATTTATTGAATGAAATTATGTTTGAAAGGCTGATAAAAATAAAGAATAAAGACTTGGTGACTTTTCAAAAAGACTTTCATGTCCACTTGATTGACTCAATACAAGATCCTTACTTTGAACCTCTTCTTATTTGATTCACACAATGATTTGGAATTAGAATATTGTTTAATTGGAGAGTTCCTGCTCTGATCGTATTCATCCCCTTTCTATAAAGGATATAAATTTATTTATCTGATAGTTCTAGGAGATGATGAAATTAACATCTCTTGAGCTCCTTTGTATCAGATACTCTATATATGTCCTATACTCTATTGAATAAAGACAGTTTGACATATTAGGAAAAACACAGGTATTAGTTGTAGTCAAGAGTGGAATCAAAATCTGAATTTGCTACATAACTTTGTGTACTTGGTCAATTTATTTCATTTTTGCTAAGCCTTCATTTCCTTATATGTAAAATGGAGTAAGTACACAATTTAGTTGTGATTCTTAAGAATAGTGGTATACATAAACTCAACACTCTGACTCATTACTATTGAGTCAGAAGCCACTTATAGCTGACCTCCAGCAGATTTTCAGAAGACTGTAAATCACAGAGGGAGATTGCTCATCTAGCTGCTTGGGTGCTACTGGTGGATTTAAAATGCCTTTGGGTTAGCTGTGTAGCTCCTACAGAGTATGCCACCCTAGCATATAATAAACAGTGAATGCAAGTTGTTGTAATAGGTAGCTAACAGGAGGCAAAAACTTAACGTACAATTTCATTTTACAATTATGTAAAATTTAATCTACAGATCTATGACAGCACTTGTCAAATTGAAGACATGAATGCACTCAAAATCTAATCATTGCTATCTTGTTTCAGGAGAATATGTAGGACTAAAACTCTAAATATTGATCATTTAAATTAAACTATGTTCAGAATGGTATCTAGATATTTTTAAAATATATTATCCAACATGGTGGCTATAGCAAAGCTTGTTCTTAGGCTAACTAGCTAAAAATAGCTGACAAATTAATTGAAGTATGGAATCACATTTCTCTCTTGAACTGAGGGAACTGCTGCTCAGCACACAGGGGGAAATAACTTTGCATTTCATCATCATGTGTTTCTGAATATCTGTTAAGTGATGTGTTGTTTGCTTTGCTCATTCCTTCGAGTAAGTCTAGGGTTAATTGTAATCTCTACTCAAAACCTAGCTTGGATCATAATAGCAGGTAGAATTGACAATTAAGTTTTATTAACTCGCTGTGCATTACCACACAAGGTCCACCAGATGTGGAAAAAGCCACTGCTGTCAGAATCTCTCTTCTCAAAGGGGCCTGTGCTTGAATTGGTTGGTTTTTTTTTTTGTTTGAGTTTGTGCTGAGGCATCCACTTTAGTCTGTCAGAGTCCTGTGACAATGAAGACTCATTTATTTCAAGTAACAGACTAACTGGTTTAGAACAGTTGCTTTGAAATTTTACTTAGTGGAGAGAAACTTCACCGATAAGAACAGTTTGTTTTGATGTGTGCCAAAATTTGACATGAGGTTGTTGCATCAGCTCTATTCTTTATTTCTGTATTTTATTTTGGTTGCAATGTACCCACAAAATCCTGACTCACACATATAAATTATTGCAACTGATAGATGTCCATTAGCAGCTTGCCTTGCAATCTCAGGATCTTTTTTTTCTTTTCCAATCAAATCGATCCACAAACCTGGAAGAAAATGAGAAGGAAGTTTTGGTTCCAATGATAAATTATTATTCAAAAGATTTTTTAAGCCCAAATATGACAATCAGATAAGAGGCAGTCAAAACTTAGAGTAAGCCCTGAAGCCTTCTAAAATGTAGGAGCGTCACGATGGGGCATGTTGCACACCCTCTTTTTATTGCACAACAAACTGTTCTGCTTTCTCCAAGCAGATGGGCCTGAACTTCACCTGCCTTCTAATTGAGTACAGCCCATAGGATAAAGTGTTGTGTGCTTGTACAGTTTTCCTTGTGTGAACTTGTGCTGGCATGATTTTATTGAAAGACTTGTGTGGAGTTAGTCTTCATACTCCATAACACATTTACAAGAACTTCAAACAAATGCAAAACAATGGCAGAAGCATTTGTTGTTTAGGGCTGGAAAAAAATAGTAAAGGAATCCAGCAGTTCAAAGTAATAATTTGATGATCTCTAGTGACAAAAAATTTGATATATACTTATTTGCTTGTTGAAAGGTAGTAAGGGCATATTGGTTTGGAAAAAAACTTAAATCAAGTATTTTATTTCTCTAAGAAGTCTCCATTTTCTCCTATCATAAATTCACCTCAAAAAGCAGCTGGGAGTAAATCTGAATACAAATTAAATGTTCAGCACAAAATCTGGCATATAGAAGCTATTTTTATTATTATTATTATTATTATTATTATTATTATTAATCATCAAAGGGTTAAGATAGTTAAGTGTACTTTAGGGGGAAATGGAATCTTGTGTTTTGAAAATATAATTGAAAAATGAGTAGTCTAGAACACTTCAAAGTCCATATTATGTGAAATTCGAGCTTGAAAGTGTTAGGTATAGTATAGACTGAATTCTTTATAAGAAAATGGTCTTTTGGCTCTCCTTGCATTTATCATTCTTTTCTCAAATAACTACTTCCCTCTCAAGCTACCAGTCTTCTTTACATTCACAGAGCACTTTGGAAATAGTATTTTACAGTGGTTTATCACCACTTAATTACCTCTCAACCCTTTTAATTTTTTTTTCCTTGAAAACTGGGTTGGAAACAACCCAATAACTATTTCCAAATTCAGCCGTTAATGCCTCTGCATGGAAGTTCTGCTGGCTTAGTGGTAAGAAGCTGCACTGAAATCCCACAGGCACGAGGTTCAAATCCACCAGCTGCTCTACAGGAGAAGGATGGACAATTTCCTTCCATGATTTACAGCCTGTGAAAATCTGCTGGAGGGTCAGCTATGACTCAATTGTGAGTCGGTTCCAAATCAACAGCACACAACACTAATGGTAACAACAATGACTGTGCAGTAGTGTATTTGACACTGTTGAGTGTCCCTTCTTAGAAACTCTTTCCCACTCTAACTTCCTGTGACAGTCTCTTCCTTCTCCTCTTATCTCTTTTTTCACATTATTTCTGTTATTTATTTAATTCATCTAACACCTCTTCTTCCTTACATCTACACCCATGCCCTTATCATTCTACTTCCAGTAAATATCTACCATAGCTACTTGTTTCTTTTACTTTAAATTTTCTATTTTATGTCCCTCTCTGCCTTGC